CGCCCTCACTCCCTCTCGCCCTCACTCGCTCTCACCCTCTCTCTCGTCTGACGCTGACTTGGGGAGGGGGGGCACCTGTAACGCTCTTACCCGTACAAGCTGCAACTTGCAAGCTTTACCTGCTGCTACGATCTGCTAGTACGATTGTGTAGCGCGATCCCTCGACGAAGCTAGCGGGACACTAGCACGGCCTGGAGAACGAAAACACGAAAATTCCATGGAGTGAGGTAACAGCAAAATTTACAATATATATATTCGAAATAGACGACCTGCCTACCTACATATTACCTAGTGTCTTATACGTGATGTATATGACACACTTTTTGCTATTTCTGTCTGGAACAATTAATACAGTGATTTCAAGTAAAGATATCTAGGTGAGCTTAAAGCTCAAACAATACAGAGTAATTGCGAGTAAGGATATCTAGCCGATCTTAAGGCTCAAACACGATACAATTCAATGACGTATACTTACGACCCGTAGCTGGTTGTACCGCTGACACTACTATAATGACGACAACTGTCAGAAATGCCCTTCTTATACACCCGCCATGCGCGTCGTGGCCTTGGGGAGCTTCATTGAGGCTTCATTCAACTTTCCCCCACGCCGTGTTCACGTGCACATGAAGCTTGCCGTAACCTTGACATTTATAGGAATCACCTTTGCTGGCGTGCAGGTCAGAAGTTTCAGCACTTGACCACGTGCACACGCCGACCATGTTTGACCCACGCCGTGTTCACGTGCACATAAAGCTTGTCGTAACCTTGACATTTATAGCAGTCACCTTTGCTGGCGTGCAGGTCAGAAGTTTCAGTCCTTGAATTCGTGTGTCACGTGTGCAAAGCCACGCTGGGCTGGCAGGTGTATTTAAGAGGGGCATTTAAGACAGTTGCCAGTATTATACAGGTCGTAAATATGTCATTGAATTGTATCATGTTTGCCATGTTTGAGCTTCAAGTTCAGCTTAGCTTCACTTGAAATCACTCTGTATTGTTCCAGATAGAGCAGACGAAACGCTTTGCTATACACACTCGCGAGATAGCAAATTATTTTAGATAAATCTCAGTAACAACTGATACATCACGTTATAATTCACTATCATAAACGTGTGTTCATTGTATAAGTTCTAAGAATTTTTTTTGGAATATAGTACCTAAGCACAGCAGAACCTGATATGAATTGTCAAGATTGTGTTCCTAAAAACTACGGCGCAAGCCTAGTTTAGGCTGTTTAGCACCCCAGTTTAGTGTAGCACATAGGCGAAAACATATGCGATTGATAGTGAACACTGCTAACGTTACTGATGGCAATACACATGCATTTGAAAAATAATGAAAAATAAACTATATGGAAAATAAATGTTATATTACAAAATTTGATGTTGCTAATCGCTAGCAGCAAGTGCCATTAACCTAAAATCAGTGTCAACATGACAAAAAACACAACGAAACGATTTTATTATGAAAGATTTTTTATTGTAAAACACCACGTGGCACAACACGACGACGATTGCAATGAATTAAGTGCGACTCCACGCACGTGAAACAATGATATTGTCAGACGATCTCTCCTATATATTCTATTCCCCCCCCCCATTATTAATAATGATAAAGGATTAATTTATCATCAATGAAATTAATGATAATTTTAATGTATCATCGATCAAACATTCCCAAACATCTCTGCCACGGTACGGCGGCTGTTAGCGTCCATCTCCATGGCGACCGCGTCGAAACACTTCCTCACGAGTCGTCTGTGTCGCGCCGACGACAGCAGCAGCTCTCCGTACATGTAGACGCCCATCGATTGTTCGTCCGCGAGAAATGTCGCGACATCAGAGTCGCACGTGTAGTAATGGTGTTTGACCACCAGCTCACACCACCTGCAGGAAGGGAAATCAAACTTTTTTGACTTGTAGTCATACGGATTTCACTGTATTCAGACTAGATTTTGTAATCCAGGAGCCCGTTGTCAGAAACAAAATTGGTCTTAACATTAGTCTTAACATTAACTTTTTCTCTTAGAACGACGACAGAAATGCTGCGAAGTTAAGAGAATAAAAAATCGTAGCAGATTTCCTCATAACAATACGAAACAAAGTGATGTCGGCGGTCTAGGAGAAATTGTTAATGTTAAGACTAATGTTAAGACTAATTTTGTTTCTGACAACGGGCCCCAGTAGTCTGTGAGTAATTCTTGTAGTGCAGCAATTTGTGAACACGTAATAATGATGAGTAATTTTAAGTGAATTTGCTAATTGGTTATTTAATTTATTGAAAATAAAGTTACAGCAACTTGCAGTGAAGAGAAATAATTAAAATTATCAGTTTATTACCTGTGTCTCACGTCTGCATTCTGTTCAGTGAGTAGAGAAAGAGCGAAAGCGAGAGAGAGAGAGAGCGAGAGCGAGAGCGAGAGCGAGAGAGCGACAGAGAGAGGGAGCAAGAGCGAGAGAGAGAGCGACAGAGAGCGACAGCGACAGAGAGCGAGAGCGACAGCGACAGAGTGACAGAGAGAGAGAGAGCGACAGAGAGAGCGACAGAGAGCGACAGAGACAGATCGAGAGAGAGCGACAGAGAGAGAGAGAGCGAGAGAGAGCAAAAGAGAGAGAGAGAGCGAGAGAGTGAGAGAGAGAGAACGAGAGAGAGAGAGAGAACGAGAGAGAGCGACAGAGCGCGAGAGAGCGACAGAGCGCGATAGAGAGAGAGAGTGCGAGAGAGAGAGAGAACGACAGAGAGAGAGAGAGCGACAGAGAGAGCGAGAGCGAGCGAGAGCGAGCGAGAGCGAGCGAGAGCGAGCGAGAGCGAGCGAGAGAGAGCGAGAGAGAGCGAGAGAGAGCGAGAGAGAGCGAGAGAGAGCGAGAGAGAGCGAGAGAGAGCGAGAGAGAGCGAGAGAGAGCGAGAGAGAGAGAGAGCTGCGCGCATGTCTATGTCAGCGTCGTCGACGTCAATGATCACAGCCCGCGATTCGAGAAGGTGAATTATACAATAAATCAATGAATTAACAACAAATTATACAATAAATCAACGAATCAACAATGAGTGCAATGTAAATACAGGAGTAGTAGCAAGAACATTTGTACGACTTACCGGTCCTCTCCAGTCCGCTTGTGTCCCCGAGTGGTAGTGGTGTGTGGCTCATGTCGATTGGAAAAAATTGAACAAAACACACATCACAAATGTGTGGCAGTACATGTCCAAGAAAACGCATGTATAATATATATGAATATAAAATTATATAAAAATAATAAAAAAATAAAAAAAATGAATAATACTCACCCACCGCCCACCCTCCTGGACCAGGCCAGGCACTACCAACTGTAAAGAAAAATGGAAGCACGAACGAACAAATTAACGCAGCGCGAATCACGAACAACGGTAAGAACGCAGCGCAAATCGCGAGCGACAATACGGGTCGCAAAAAAAACAGTGCAATGTTGCACAATGTTGCAACAGTATGTAAAGAACATGTGTACGTTTCACCTCATACCCAACCAGCTCTGCTCACGCAATACTCTCGTCGAATCGCCCTGTATTTCATGTCTGACCTGGACGGCTCTGACCTGGACGGCTCTGACCTGGA